GGTCGGCCTCCTTCTTAGGGTGGGCCTGTAGAGGACCTAAGGGACACCCAGCGCAGACAGTGCTGTCCACAGGTGCCATCGATCGGCCCCACACGCTTGAGACACCACGATAAAATTCACTGGCCCTGAAAGCGGAAAGAAAGTTACAAAAGAATAAATGCTCAGTCGTGTCTAACCCGGTTCATTAAGAGGAAAGGTTGATATTTGTAAAATTTCACCATACTTGAAGTCAGTTTTAAGTCCAGAGTTTCTCATTCCGGAATAATTTTAGAATAGTCATGACTTTTACGGAGAAATCATTCTCTGGCCACGACTTTTAACCCGAAGACCTTAGGTAGTAGCCTGAGGCACCACGGTAATTAATTAGGAAGTGCTGAGTTTTGAGCATTCTTGACTTTTGTAGGGTTTTTTTTTTTTTCAGGGGGGACATTTTTTTTGAAAAACAGATTTTATTTTTTAGAGATAGGTTCTTAGCAAAACGAGTGGAAAACCCCTCCCTCCACACGTGCACAGCCTCCCCCACTGTCAATATCGGCCGCCAGAGTGGGACGTTTTTTACAGTGGATGAGCCTACTCGACACATCGTTGTTGCCCAAAGCCTGTGGTTGACATTGGGGTTTATTCTTGATGGGGCACGTTCTGTAGGTTTTGAGAACAGGATCCATCGCTACAGTATATGGTACGGAGTGTTTTCATTGCTCCTAAATCCTCTGCGCTCTGCCCTCTCTCGAACTCCAGCAACCACAGATCTTTTTACTGTCTTTGTGATTTTGCCTTTTCCAGAACGCATACAGTTGGACTCATCCAGTACGTAGCCTTTTCAGATCTCTTCATTGTGGGAGAATATACATAACATAAAATGGACCCTTCTAACCATTTTTAAGTATACGTTTAGTATATTCACACTGCTGTGCAGCCATTAGCACTCTCTATTTCTAGAACTTTACCATCACCCGTCAGAAACTCTGAATCCAGGGCTGCTTGGGCGGCTCAGTCGGTTAAGAGTGACTCTTGATTTCCACTCAGGTCATGATCTCACAGTTCGTGGGATCGAGCCCTGCGTCAGGCTCTGCACTGAAAGGGTGGTGCCTGCTTGGGATTCTCTCCCTCCCTCTCTCTCTCTCTCTCTGTGCCTCTCTCTCTCTCAAAATAAGTAAACATTAAAAAAAAAAAAAAAAAGAAACTTTGAATCCTTTAAACAATGATTTCCCATTCCAGCTGCCCCCTGGTGAGCTCTGTTCTCCTTCCTGTCTCCGTGAATTTGCCTCGTCTGGGTACCTCAAATAGCTGGCATATGACATCTGCCCTTGGGTGACTGGCACGTTCATTTAGCAGAATGTCTTTAAGGTTCATCCAGGTTGTAGCCTGATTCAGAATTTCCTTCCTTTAGAAAGCTGAGTAGTATTCTGCTACCGGGTGTGTTTGTCCCATTTTGTGTGTTCATCTGTTGACGGACGTTTGCGTTGTTTTCACGTTCTGGCTCCCGGGCGCGTAACTCGGCCGTGCGTACCGGCGTTCGAGCATCTGTTCAAGTGGCTGCTTCGTGAGATCATGATCTGAGCCGAAGTCGGATGCTTAACCGACTGAGCCACCCAGGCGCCCCTAATTCTTTTAATAATAGTAATGGCTATGTTTTTTTTTTTTTTTATTTTTTTAACATTTATTTTTGAGACAGGGAGAGACAGGGCATGAACGGGGGAGGGGCAGAGAGAGAGGGAGACACAGGATCGGAAACAGGCTCCAGGCTCCGAGCCATCAGCCCAGAGCCTGACGCGGGGCTCGAACTCACAGACCGCGAGATGGTGACCTGAGCTGAAGTCGGACGCTTAACCGACTGAGCCACCCAGGCACCCCAATAATGGCTATGTTTAACACCAGGTTAAAAAATCCCTAAACCTCTCACAGTCCACTTTTGCGTGGGTTGGCGCCAGCCCACTCCAGCCCACGGCTGACTGCGGCCTCCGAAACGGGGGCCCCACAGAGATCTTAAAACACTCTGGCCTCCATTCTTTTCCCAAACAGTAAAGTAAATGCCGGAGATTTTGTGCAAATATGCATTCTGGTACTACGGGCAGAGAATAGACATTCTTTTTTATTTATTTATTTTTTTTAAAGTACTTTCTCCATTGGGAGGTGAACATTACGTTGGGCGAATATTTTCCAGCAAGAGCGAATCAGGGCCTCTGGGATGTCACAGGAAAGACTAGTTGGTGCCTGTGCATCCGGGAGTCCTTGGAGCCACGTGGCGAAGAGCAGAGCCTCCCACGTGTTAATTTCCAGGGGCTGTGTGTCCTGTGGCTCTCGGTGGCTTCCCTTCTGCTTTTTGCCCTGCTCTTTTGGGATCTAGTGACTTCTAGGCTTCTTCCTGTGCCGTGCTGCAGAGAGGAAGTCGTTTCCAGAGAGATGCGGCGCTGTCTCTGGCACAGACCTCCCTCGTGGAGAGGAATTTGACTGTGAGGGTAGCTCTGGGCCACGACCGAGCCCCCACTCCATGACATCCCGTGGTCTAAGCGGCAGGCGTGGTTTGGTGCTTCGATCGTTTCCGGTCTCGGGCACTAGGAGGGCTGGCGGGGGCGCCTTGCAAGCAACCCCTACAGAAAGCACGTGTGGGCATCCACCAGCGCATGCCTGGCCACGTTTTGGTTGCCTGCTGGTCATCGCGGGACTGGAAGAAAAGAGAACACTGTGTGTGCCCGCACCGCCACTCTGCAGTTCTGAGGCCCTTTTGCATCCAGCTGCCCGGGGAGCCTCTTCCCAGCGCTGGAGCGTGCAGCCTCGGCTGACATCAGAGCTTCCGCAACATTTGTGCTCGGCGTGTTTATTCTTGTTAGGCGTTTTAGTATTTTTATGAGCTCAGGATTGCAGAAATCTAAGGAATTTGCCCCTCGACTGAGTTTCTTGCTGGCCGCAAACAAAAGACTGTTGACCTGACACCAAGTTGGGGAGGGTTCACGGTGGGACCCCCTCTCTGTCTTCGACCCCCTTGGAATTTCAGCTAACATGGGCTGCAGCCACTGGTGACTGCTAGCTCACCAGGCTCCCGGCTCGGTCCGTGCTCCTGTGAGTCTGCGCTCATTTTCCTTGCAAAGCCAAAAAGCTGTGTTTTCATTTTGGCCGATCTCAGCCGTGTAGCTAATGTTTAAGGCTAGGTCATAGCCCATGATAAGGGGAGTCCGGCTCCAGCATGCCCTTGGCCACTGGGTCTGCTCCCTTCTGTGCTCTGCCTGCCCAGTTAATGTCCGCGCACCTCCTCTGTCCACTGGGGCGGCCCCCCTGGGCTGTCCCACCTCGGGTTGGAAGGACCACATTTGCCAGTGGATTTCCCTTTCCTTTGCTCCCACAGCTCCAAATCCAGAATAAATGATACGTAAGTGCCATGAGCCTCCTTCACTCTCCCCACGTAGGAAAAAAAATCCTTCTTGTTTTATTGTTCTAGGAGGAGCTTAGAGCTTCCTGAGCTCATAGACTTTGGGAGACTTTCAGGTCCTTTGGCTCGGCTGTGCCCTCCGCACACACAGGCTGGGCTGGACGCAGGAATCGCCTGCCGCTGAAGCTAGGCCTGCAGCCCCTCTCTCTTGTCACAAAGGCCCGTTGGTTCACATTCCTCCTGGTGGCCCACTTCCGTTTTTGGAGGGACAAGAGTTTGTAAACTGAGTTTGTAAACCTGGGGTTTAGCTGGAGCTCCAAATGGCAGGGCAGTGGCCCACGTTCTAGCTCGTTAGTAGTTTTTGCCCTGAGAGCCAGGCTCATGGGGCCGATGCAAACCGGCCCAGAGGCTAAGGTGGGGACAGCGCTGCTCCCAAAGTAGGGCATCCGCAGACCCAGAGGGGGGACAGAGCCTGATGGCCTAACTCTGGGGGTGGGAGCACCTATGGGGGGAGGACCTCTCTTAGCGGGGGTGCTTTAAGCAAGGGCCGTCCCAATTTTTTTTTTTTAATATTTATTTATTTTGGGGGAGAGCACAAGCGGGAGAGGGACAGACGGAGCGGGCTCTGTGCTGACAGGCTGACAGCGGCGAGCCCGCTGTGGGGCTCGAACTCGCAAACTGTGAGACCGTGACCTGAGCAGAAGCCGGATGCTCAACCGACTGAGCCACCCAGGCGCCCCCAGGACCGTCCCAATTTAAAATACTTTAACCCATTTTCAGCGTGTCCCAACTTTCGGTTCCGAAAATATCCCCAGCGGAAGCAGGCACAGAGGAGACGTTTGGTAGCACAGGAAGACGGCTGGGGGCTCGGAGAGGGTAGCCAGGAAAAGGCGACGTTCCCCTCATTTGTTCAGGCCAGTGTGCAAAACACGTTGGATCCGAGGTCAGATTCTCAGTTCCGGTTCTGGAGGGCGCTTTCCATCGTGTGCTGCTGGGGAGCGTGGGGGTGACTTCAGAGCTCTCCTTACCAGTAGGCACCTGTACTAAATGGGGATGTTCATTGATGTTGCCAGTCGGCCCTTTCGAGATCTCTGCTGGGCACATGGTGGGGGGGGGGGGGGCACGGAGCCTCAGCTGCACTGGCTTTGGCTGGAGGGTTATTGCCTGACATTCTGTTCCCATGTTGATCGTTACAACAGCCCTGCAAGGGAAGCGTGATTCTCTTCTTCCAGATGAGGAAATGGAGGCTCCGAAGGCTGCCTCATCTTCCCATAATGTCTAGTCCTCCTAGAGCTGAGGCTCAATCTGTAAAGCCCCTTCCCCTTTCTGCTCACATCCCGATCATCGATTCCCTCCCCCTCTGCCCCCCCTCCCCCAGGGCCTCCCTCCCATTCATTCACTGAGCCTCCTTTGGGTGGGGGAGGGGCATGCCTGACCACCTCCAAAAAGGTGAGGGTGAGGCCAGACTGAGAAGGTCAGTGCAGTCTACGCAGAGCACCCAAACATCAGGCTTGCTCCAAGCCAGGAGTTGGGATGAGTCCTAAGTCTTACTTACCCCGTGGCCTTGGGTGGATGTTTGCATGGGGTATGTTTGGGTTTGGGCTTCATATTTATTCTCGCATTTTTATTTCAGGACATAACTTGGCAAGATGAGCACTCTGCCCCTTTCTCCTGGGAAACGAGGGTGAGTTGGGTTAAATTTAGATTTGTTTGTCCTTTTGAAAAAGAATGGCGTGGTTGTGTATTTTTCTCGTAGCTCTCGGTGGACTCAGAAGGCGGAGGCCCCACCATCCTGCTGCAGGTGATGCCCCCCTGCTGGTGGAAAAGGAGAGGAGGGGAGACCGTGGAGATGAGCTAGGAAACCTGTGGGGGGGGCATCGTGACGGAATTAAAGTGGTCGCCCCTTGACCAGGACCCTGGCCGTCCTGGGAAAGCACAGTCAGCCCCATCCGGGGCTTTCTCTGCTCCTGGCTCTGCTGACCAATACTCAGCACCTTAGTGGGGGTGCTCCGTAAAGCAAAGCTTGGAGAGAAGCTTTTGAGGGGGGGCAGGCGTTATTAAAATGAACTCAGGGTAGGGGCGGGAGAGGGACAGTGGCAGAGATGAGACTGCAGATCTATCAAAATTGCCTGCAAGAGTCTGCCTGGAGGCGTGACAGTCCTGGGGGCGGCAGGTAGGGAGGAAAAAAGGACATACACTCTTGGAAGCCTGTGAAGTTGATGAGGCAGTGGATACACATGGACAGGTGTTAGCGGTACAGTGCAGCTTGGATCGCTAACCCCTAGTCCCTTGTTCACTTTGATGGTGATGATGATGATAGGTGATGATTATTGCTAGAGTTGATTCATGGCGTCAAGCTTAACGGACTTTGTCTATTTCCCCCCCCCCGTCCTGCCTTGCTGCTCTGGTAGAAGTGTGTTAGTAGGGGGCCAAGCAACCAAAAGGCAGGTGTCTGTAACGCAACTAAAACGAGCAAGAGTCTAGAACGTTTAGTGCTGCGTGTCGGAGGGTTCTCCCCATAATGGGGTGACGAGGACGGCAGTGTTCCTGGAACGGGGCTCAGACTTGAGGTCAGATCAGGGCTCTGAAGTGCCTGTTCTTGCAGGGGCTCGTTGGCTGGGCCCACATTGCTCATCCCAGCGGAAATGGGCACGCAGGGGCCTGCGGAGAGGGTGGGTCAGAGCGGGGCAGGGCAGCGAGGGGGTCCACAAGACACCCGGGAAGCCCTCATGTGGGGGGACCTGTGTCTGAAAATGGAACATTTGACAGGGTTCCGGCGGACGAGGGCAGGGGGCGCTGTTGCCTACAGGCAGAGCTGCTGAGTGGGCCCCGTGTGACCTGAGGCGTCCCCAGATGGGGAGGTGCACGACCCGGTCCTCGCGTGAGAGCTGGGAAGCGGTTTTGGAAATCTGTGTTGTCAATGCGGGTGTACGCGTCCACCTGGCGGGTGCGGATGCCCGCTGCCTTTAGCGCACCTTTACGTGGGGTCCTGAACATCCTACGTCTGCACCCAGCATGTGCCCGTGTTTTATTTCCACTGCAGATGAGTAATCTAGGTCTGTGCAGAGGGCAGCGTGAGCGAAACGGTGTGCCTGGAAGCTGGGGTCTCCCTAGGGATCTGGACCCCGGTCGAAGGACATCCAGGAGCAGCCTGGAAACACAGTGGCTCCTGAAACCAGCGAGGAATCTCCTGTCTAGTGACACTGTCAGGGAAGTTGTGGGTGGGCAGAGACTGCATCGTCACGTTGGCGTTCAGCCAGGAGCAGCAGTCTTCTTTTTGGGCTCCCCGGTGAATAACTGAGGAGCACTAACCCTGCCGGTGATATCTACCGGTAACAGACAAATAGACGCTCTGCAGGGTGGGACCAAGCAGCCTCGGACGCAGTAGCCCAGAAAGCAGCACAGACTTCCCCAGACCGGGTCCTACGTTTGAGGATATCACAGCGACGAAGGCACAGAGGTCAAAAGAGTGATGACGGCCTACGCTCTGCGTCCATCTCATGCCCCATGAGAATATCACCTCTATTAAGAATTTACTTTGTGAAATATTACTGAACCTGCTATTTTGGGGACAGGACACTCCATCTGTTATTAACTTGCTGCAGTGACAGTCTGGGACAAGGATGGGCAGTGGTTGGAGCAGGTGCCGAGATGGGGCTCAGCCACCAGGGCCAGTGTGGGGCATAGGTGAACGAGAACGAGGACAGCTAACTGTCCCACACAGATCACACCCTGTGCTGGTGCTGAGGGTCCACATCTGCCAGCCAGGTCCCCCAGGCACCTTGTCAGTCAAGAAGCCTCTGGAAGTTAATCGGTGTTGCCCCCTTTGCAGAGAACCAGCTTACGTAACCAATGGGCAGGCTCACTCGGGGTCCTCACCTTTTGGTTTGATCTCTTGAAGTTGGACTTACAGAGTTTAGCGTTAGAACCTTGTAGAGACAAAGAGAACATTCCAGAGAGCAGAGAGGCTCGGCTCCACTCTGTTTGCACAAGTCAGCGTTGAGTTCTAGAAAGTGCCACCACTCACCTCCCCGGCCTGAACTTGGAGCGCCCTGCCTCCTTGCTTTTCGGGCGTCGTCACACTCTCCCTGAGGGCTGGTGAGAACCTCTTTGGAGAGCTGCGAACAGGAGGTGGTTTTAGGCGGCCCTGATCTCCAGGCGTGGGATTCGGGGCCCAGCAGCGGGTTCTCTTGCTCTCCAGTAGTTATCTGTTGATGCGTAACAGACTACCCCACAGCTCCATGGCCCAAAGCGGACATTTATTTGCTTATGATTCTGGGGCTCAGCAGGCTGGGCAGGGCTCCCCCAGCCGTTCTTCTGTTGGCCTTGTTCACTCACCAACTCTTTCTCTGCTCTGACTTCTTAGCCTGGCAGTCATGTCATCCGAGGCCAGGGTCAGCCTGACCGAGGGTCTTGATTGTTGGCAGAACTGAGAGTGCCAGGGGCTTGACCAGTCGTTGTTAACTCTGTGTGGGCTCCTCCGTTTAGGCCAGCCCATGGGGGTGCCACCCACGGAGAGTGAGCTGGCCCTGTGCTCGGGGGCCAGGAGTCCCCTCCCCAGCGGAAAGCAGCTGTGATCGGGAGTGCCCTTGAGGGCTGGGGGCCAAGTGCAGAATGGTCTGTGGAAGAGTACCCCCTTGTTCAAGTCCTGCTTTGTCTTCCAGCCCAGCCCTCCCTGCCTGGGGCGCGTCCTTCTGAGACGGAGCTGCCCTGGCGCCCCTGTTTCTCTGCCCTCTTCCAGCATGGAGGGGAGGCTCAGAGGGAGAACTGCCCGCCCCAGCTGGGGGTGAGCTGGCCGTTATCTTTCCCATCCATCTGTCAGCCTGTGGGCCCCCCTCGGTGGATTCCTTTCTCATGCTACTGATCTTTTAAGAGGAAGAAACTCGGCGCTTGGAATGCTCCAGAGAGGGGAGGCAGGGAGCAGAAAGGATTCTTGGCATTCCCTGGTGGGTCTGGGCTGGGGAGTTTAGAGGAGATGTCTGCAGAGGCAGGTCAGGCCCTGGCGCTGGGTTGCTGGGCTCTAGGGACAACCCCCCCCTTCAAAGCATGCACCCCTCCCCCTGCCCCAGATGTCTGGCTTCTTTCTGTCCGTCTTGGTCCTCCTCCCAGCGTGCATTGCCTATTTGGGGATGGTAAGTTGGCTGGTGGGGATGGGTTCGTTGATTTCCTTCTGCATCAAAAGGTCTCTGAGGGCCAATATAAACCATTCCCAGAGTAGGGAGACCTTCCCGCCCCTTCCTTGGGAAGAAGAGTAGGCACTTAGGAGGCTTTGTGCTGAATTTTTGAAAGATCCGTGAATGATATCACACTTCCTGTGTGTGTGCTGTGTGCTCTGGGTCCGGGTGTGCACACACGTTGAATTCTTTCGCCCCTGGGAGATCAGGGTCCCTGCTCTTGCTCTGGGTCAGGGTTTTGGGCAGGGGCTCGAAGAACGCTATAACTGGCAGGCGGCTTGAATCCACGGAGAGAGATTGGAGCGCAAGTCCGTTTGGCTTGCGGGTGGCTCCTGCCCGTGGCGGGACAGTAGGGCATCCCCTCAGGGTGTTCAGTGCCTAGAGGAGTCCCTTGCTTCCAGCCTGTAGCTCTGCTTGCCTTCTCTCCTTACTGCCAGTGACAGTTTGGAGCCACCCTGTGCCCCCGTCCCAGCCTGACTCCTGTGCTGCTTGAGGTCCCCGGACCTTCTTCGCCGAGACCCCCATCTCTGCCCAGCAGTCACGGCTCCCTCCTCATTGCCCCCCAGCACCCGTTCTGACCCTGGCTCACCTTCCTGAGAGTCAGAGCTGAGCCCTGTGGCACCCTGACCTTTCCTGGGTCTCTCTGTGTGTGGAGGGATGTGTCTGTTCCTTCAGCCCAGTGGCCCTAGCCCTGCACCTCTGGCCCCAGGGGTCTTTCCGGCTGGTATGTCCTGTGGCCCTCAGCCCCGTGCCCCAGACACCGTGCTCTCCTGCCCCAGGAGCCATGGCCTTTCCTGCCTCAGTGCCATTGCTCACCCCCCACCCCATCCATCTGTGAGGATCTAGTCTGTCCTCCAGACGCGCTGCAAACCCGCGTTCTTCTGATTCCCACGGCTCCCATGCCCCCCATCTTTGCTGAGCACCTACCGTGCCTTCTCTCGTGTGAGCCTCACAACAGCCCCGTTTTACAGATAAGAAAATCAAGGCATAGAGTGCGGGGTGTGGACTAGACATCCGGGCCCAGGACCATATACATAAGCTGTGCCGTAGCAACCTGGCTGCCTCTTAGATGAAAATATGGCATTACTACTGTTGTCCCCGTGAGATGATGAGCCCCTGGCGGGGCGGGGGGGGGGGGGGGGGGCGGGGGGGCGGGCAGTGGCCCCTGAACCTTGGAAACTCGGCCCCGGTGCACCTCCCAGCTGTTGGGCCTCTGTTGGGTTTTTCCCCAGGCTCACTCTGCCCGACATACGGGCATGGGGGCTGGAGCAGGATTAATCCACGCGTCTGTAGGTCCCCTTGCTCCCTGGGAAAAGCATAGGAGTATGTAATTTAGCCCCTGGTCCGAGCCCAGTGCCTGGGGGTTGGGGGCGGGGAATCCACCAGGCCCTGCCCCTCCCCCCACGGGCCCGGAGGGTCTGACGTCCCCAGTGGCCAAGTCCCCAGTGGCCAAGTCCTGCCGTGCCTTCCCTGTCAGGCTGTCACTTCTCCTGGTTTTGTGATTCTAAAAGTTTTTCATACCTTCTCCTCCTCTTTCCTTCTTTGGAGGAGGAGGTGGAAGAATAAATGCTAGATGGCTTGTGGGCTTATTCAGATTTGCTCCAGTAAACTAGGATGTTTCCTGACAACGCTTCTGTAGCCTTTGTCTCAACAATTTCGATGGGTCGGACGCTGCCAAGCCCAACAGTTAGTTTTGGCTGCACGCGCTCCCCCTTTACTGAAATATTACACATTCCTCTCCAGTGAGCGGGGCGTAAAAATAGATCCTGGGCTCGGTTGTGGTCTTTCTGTTTTTAGAACGGACGCGGCCAGCTGAGACCCAGTTCCCCACATGGGGTGACTGACGCCCAGTCCTGGCTTGGCCGGACGAGATCCTCCCGCGCCGTCCTCCCTCGGGCTTTAGCTAGCGCCCGGGACGTGGGGGGTGATGAGCTGTCACCGTTGCTGCGATGGGGGCCGGGGCGGGGGGGGGGGGTTTCCCCTTTACTCCCCCATCTCCCGTCTCAAAGATTGCGTGAGACTGCAGAGTCGGATTCCCCCGCCCTGACTTCCCGTCCGTCCCCGGGTGGGCGAGCTGGAGTCATTGACCCGTTGGCTGCTCTTCCCAGGCCGCGTCCTTCTGCCGGGCCCCGGCTCGATGTCGCCCAGCGTTGGTGGACGCGGCCGACGCCGCCTCCCTTCCCAAGGGCGCTTTCTCCACCCCAAGAAAAACAGCCTTCTTCCCAGAAATAAGAAAGCGGCATCTGGAACTTCGTTATCCTTGCACTTTCCACCTTCCGGTGGTCATCACGGGGTCCACAAGAGGCCCCCTTATTAGACCTGTCAGTTCCACGAGGCAGGGCCGTCCCCGTCCTGCTCACTGACCCATTCCAGTGTCAGAAGGGCACCCCTCACACCTGTCTCTCAGAACCTCTGCTATGGCGTAGCCTTCAGAGGCCTGGTGGAAGGCGAGGGGGACAGTCCCCAGCAGTCTCCGGACTGCAGGCTCTGACGAAGTCCACAGGACAGGACGGTGGCTTGGCCACACTACTTGGGGGGGAGCTTTGCAGCCCAGACTCCATGACCTGACACTGGGCACCCAAAATGGGGGCTCCAGAGTAGCATTCACCCCGGCTCTGCTACGTGTCCCTGCTGTGGACAACAGGTACCATGAGCCAGGCCCCTGGTGGCCAGAGGAAGGCGAGCAGGAAGGCGTGAGAGGAGCCAGAGCCCAGAGGGGACCCACTGGGACTACTGCCAACGCCCCATGCAGACTTCTGACCAGGTGGCACTGTCCCTCGAGGAGTGCCGCTTGGTCTCCGATTGCCCAAGGCGCCATGGGCATAGCCTCCGTCATTCTGTCGTTGCGTTCAAGGATGTGACATCCAGCCAGTGCTGCTTGGGCGCCTTTCCAGCGATGGCCCGAAGCAGTCTGGGAACCACTGTGACTGCCTCCTCTCCACAGCATCCCTGGCTCGGTCCGTGGCTGCCTTCCACGTAGACAGTTGCTCAGCCTAGCCTTCCAGAGCCTTCTGAGCAGAGATCCCACTGGAGAAATTGCTGATCCTAAAAAAGCCCAAGGCTTGATGAAGTGTTCGCTTTTAAGTGCCTTCCTTACGTTGCAATTTCCAGATCAAAGTCAACGCCATTCTAAGCCTTGGTCTCCACTTCCGAGGTATCTTTAGCAACTTGCTTACTTAAAGAAACCCGTCCTCTCTGTGCCCACAGGCTCCCTGTATTCTACTGTGGAATTTGGAAATATGCAGAGTACTGAGAATGGTTCATTCAAAAACAGCCCTTTAGAAAGTCAGATTAGATCATCAACATACTTACAGAAGGCCTGCTGTGTGCAAGGCTCTCCGGTGTCTATGTGGATGCCATCCCTGGTGGCCACTGGTTTCTATACCTGGCGTGATGCCCAGCACGACCGGATCCAGGTTGGACAGTTCACTGAATTGCTCCCCATGTCCCATTTGCTCATCTGTAGAATGAAAATTAAAACAAAAAACAAAACACCCAGCCCAAGGGGCTCCTGGGTGGCTCAGTCCGACGCTTGATTTCAGCTCAAGTCACGATCTCACGGTTTCGGGAGTTCGAGCCCTGCGTTGGACTCAGTGCGCTTACCACGCGGAGCCTGCTTGGGATTCTCCCTCTCTCTCTCTGCCCCTTCCCCGCTCACACTCCCTCTGTCTCCAGATAAATAAACTTAAAAAAAAAAAAAAAAAAAAACCAAACCCACTCCAACAACAACGAAAAAGCACCCGATGCATTAGACGCACTCGAGCACCCGCGACCGTCAGAGCTTTGACGTCTTTTCCTTGGCATAACAGCGAGCTTCAGGGCACCTGTGCTCGTGATTGGAACGTAGTTTTTTCTCGTGGCTTTATCACATCTCATTTACAAGCCTTGAGTAGTGACCTGTGGCCACCAGAGCCCAGGCTTTTGGAGAAGTGTCAGACTGAGACCGCAGGCCAGTTTGTGAAACCAAGCGAAGGCATATGCCTTCAAGTAACGAAGAACTGTGTTTTGTACATTAAGTTAGCACCGTTCTGAATTCCACTGTGTCCACATGGAAACAGTAACTGAAAATATCCTCTGATACATCGCTGGACTGGTGGCGTTAGAAATCGGGGCAGCCCTGGAAAACAAGCTGGCTGGTATGCACCTAGAACCGCAAGAGAGGGAAGGTGTAAAGCTTTTGTGTCTTGACATTTCACTGCGGGAAGCCGATCTGAAGAAACGAAGTCCACACGGGCGAGCGCTGTAGGCACGAAGGTGGTTGTGGCAGCCTTAATGGTAAGAAAGAACACAGGTCAGAAGACGCAGGTTGTCCGCGAGTGAGAAAACGGCTAAGTAGACGGTGAGGCAGCTCCCCAGGGAAGTAGCTTGTACACAGTACAAATAATGGGCACAAAGACCACATAACCCCGTGGGCCGCGCTCACGAGTAAGTGAAAACACAACACCCCAAATCACATGCGTAACAGAACCACCGCCTCATATGATACGTGCACGAAACTGGTTCCCCCAAAATGCAAAAGGTAGAAAGAAAATGCTTTTTTTCCTGATTCCTCGACTCTGCGCATTATCCGTTCAGTTTCATTGCTTTCATTTAAAAAAAAAAAAAAAAAAGAAGAGGAGGATCTGAGAGCAAAGTGGGGAGGAAGAGAGGAATGTTCAAGATTGTTCGAGATTGATTTTAGAGAATGTTGAGGCAGGAGACTGCTTGCTGTGCAGGCCCGGGAGGCCCCGTCCGTGTGCTCTGGCCTGGAGATGGGGCTTGGGATTCCTTCCATCTAATGATTTGTTCTCCAGGACAGAGCAGCACTGGCGTTTTTAGAGGCCGCTGTGCTGAGCAGTCTCGGACCAAGGAAGGCATTTCTGGGACAGTCGGGCCGGGTGGGGGCGCTGCCCTGGCCTCGGGGGCCTAGGCTCACAGGTGGGCGATGGCATCTGGCTTCCAGGACCAGGATGAGGTCAGAGCTGCAGAGCCCTGCTGAGCGGGGAGCGTCCCAGCAGAGGACCCCTCTGCGTGACACACTGTCTTGCTTGGCTTGTGAGGTCACAACAAATACGGGGGCGGGGGCGCGGCGCCCAAACAGCAGATGTTCATTTCGCACAGTCGTAGAGGCCGGGAGGTCAAGGTGACAGTGCGATGGGGTTCTGGTGAGAACCTGCTTTCCTAGCTTGCAGGACAGCCGCCTCCTCGTGTCCGTGAGCGGTGGGAGAGAGATCCTTGCCCTTGTGTCTGTGTTGATAAGGACACCGGTCTCATCGTGGGGGGCCCCACTCTCATGACCTCATCTCAGACTGATCACCCCTCAAAGGCCCCACCTCCTGTTACCGTCACTTTGGGAGTTAGGGCTTCCGCAGGAGAACTGGGGCACACAGGCGTGCATTCTGTAGCAGGCTTCGAGAAGGCAGAGCGGGCGAGGCCGGGTGGGTCGGGTCTCCGAGGCTGCACTCAGGCCCACCCTTGACCTTCGTGGTTTTGTCCAGGAAAGCAGGGTCTGGCTCGGTTGGTTTCTTTCACGCTTGTCCGCCCTCCCGCCGCCCTAGGTCAGGAGCGAAGGGCCTGGGCGGTGGGGGCCGGGTGTTGACCTTCACGGCTGTGCTGTGCCTGGCTGGGCCGTGCACCTTCTCAATCACCTTCCCAGGGAGGGCGGTCACCGCCAGACAGCTCCTCCTCTGGAAGGCGCTGGAATCAGTCCCGACAAGACAAGGGGGTGCTCTGCTCCCCAGGCAGTGAGGCCTCAGTCATCAGTGAGTCAGAGCCTCTGCGCCATTGGGGGCCTGGGTGGCCGCGCTCCCGTGTGGTGGGTTGGCCGATGGCCGTCCTGAGGGGCAGACGGTTTCGGCAGATGGACGACACCCAGTGTTGATGTTGCCGGGCGCACAGAGGTGGGAGCTGGTGCAGCCCTTGCACCGGATCGTAAGGCTGACTCTCTCCTTTCTGTGTCCCCGCTGCAGAGTCAGATGGAGTTCAGCGTGTGCTCCTTGTCTATCCAAGAGCCGGGCAGCGGCCCGGCTGGTGAGCTGAGGCAGTCTAAAGCCTCCCAGGGCTCGCAGGCCCTCCGGCCCTCCCAGGGCGGCAAGTCCTCCAGCCTGGATGCCCTGGGTCCCGCCCGGAAGGAAGAGGAAGCTTCCTTCTGGAAGATCAACGCCGAGCGCTCCCGGGGAGAGGGGCCTGAGGCCGAGTTCCAGTCGCTGACCCCCAGCCAGATCAAGTCCATGGAGAAGGGTGAAAAGGTCTTGCCTGCCTGTTACCGGCAGGACCCCGCCCTGAAGGACAGGGAGGCCAAGGCCGAAAGGCCCGGCAACCTCCGCCAGGAGCAGCGCGGCCTCCCCTGCGTCAGCATCGAGCCCGAGAGACCTCAGCTCGTCCAGGCCCGCCCCAGCACCACCCCGTCTGAGCCTGAGGGGAAGCTTTCTTCTCCCGAGGCCAGGCGGGAGGACGTGGAGGACGTAGAAGACTCTCTGTTCTCGGAACCCATGCCTACACAGGTGAGTGGCCGCCTCCTCCGGGGGGGACCCCGGGAGACCTCCCACAAGACGGGTGGGCCACAGATGCCCCTCCCTGGGCATCTGGGCCACAGATGCTTGCTTCTTCCCCTCCCCCTTCCTCCCGCTGCCCACTCCTTGGGCGACTTTTGGGATCGGGAGAGCGGCGACTGACCAATCCGCCAGGGGCGTGTTTCGTGGGTCCATCTCGGTGCCATGACTTGGTTGCCCGTTACTCGTGGTGTGCCGCAGATGCCAGCTGCCTTTCCCCACGTGTGTGAGGGCAGGTAGGGGAGGGACCGCAGGAGGGCGGTGAACACAGGAGCTCGCAGGGGGGAGGCGGTCAGTGTGGGAGGGGTTCAGACGCCCCCCCTCCACCGAGGGGTCTATAAAGTTGGGCTGGGTGTTGGGGAGGAGGGGACCGGCGGATGCCCCAAAGTGGGCATGGAGGAAGCAGGCAGGACCCCTGAGCCTCCCCCAAGAGCGGCCACACTGCCGCAGGAAACTCTCGCTTCAAGCAGTGATTGGCGGCTACTCGTTTCCAAGCAGGGTAGGGTTATGTGTCCAGCGAGGAATCCTAAGGAAGGAGTTCTTTTGGGGGGGGAAGCAAAAGAAAGATCTGAGAGGGTCACCGGGTGAGGAGGAGGAGTATGTCGTGAAGGTGAATAAGGGTGTAGGAGAATAAGGGCGAGTGCCTTCTGAGTGTTTTCCCATTTCTTTGTGGAAGAAATCGACCATTGTCTTTACCAGTTGGTCTGAGACAGTGAAGAGAAAGCCCAGTGTTTGCTTAGGACTTTAAAGGGATCTAGTGTTGGAGGATTGTATCAAACAAACAAAACAACCCCAAAAGTCATTATATTTCAAATTCCCGGGAAGCCTTGGTTTTGTTTTGTTTTTAATTTTTTTAATGTTTTTTTTTTTTTTAATGTATTTTTGAGAGAGAGAAAGCACGGGAGGGACAGAGAGAGAGAGAGAGAGAGAGGGAGACACAGAATCCAAAGACAGGCTCCAGGCTCTGAGCTAGGTGTCAGCACAGAGCTGGACGTGGGGCTCGAACCCACGACCCGCGAGATCATGACCTGAGGCGAAGTCGGACGCTTTGCCGGCTGAGCCACCCGGGCGCCCCGGGAAGCCTTGGTTTTGAGACGTGGATTTACGATGAACAAAGCCATAGTTTGGGTGCAGGCATGGCTGAGAACCATTTCTGGGGGGAAATCATGGATAGCTCACGTACGTGGGTGAGACCACAGACCAGGTCCTGTGTCCCGTCCATCTCAGAGATGGACGGCACACCCCGGGGAACACTAGTGCTTCCTGGCAGTCAGACACGTTGTGTGAGTCCCGAGGCGGGGAGGGCAGGAGGGATCAAAAGAGACCACCTGCTCCCACACGAGGATGGCCAGAGGGAGGAAAAGAGTGGTCTTTAGGATTGGGTCTGGATTTTGGAGCCTGGGGAAGTTACCTATTGGCCAGGCAGATGGACACGCCTGGGGGCCACCCCACCACAAGCCCTTCTCTGTGTGTGCCTTGCTGGTTTTCTCCATGTTAGCAGACTCTTTGGCTGTCTTTTTTTTTTCCCCCCCTGTTAACTCATATGTAGAAAAATGTCTATTGTGGTTAAATACATGTAACGTACCACGTGCCATATTGAGTATACGGCAGACCCAGGGGTCGTGACACGAGATGCATTCGCGTTGTTACTCAGCCATCGCTGCCATCCATCCACAGAACTCTTTCATCTGGGAAGATCGGCCGACTCCCTATTCCCTCCTCCCCCCAGCCCCTGGCAGCCGCCATCCTACTTTATATTTTCGTGAATTTGACTACTCTTCGCGTCTCACGTAAGCGGAATCAGACAGCGTCCATCTTTTTGTGACCGGCCTGTTGCCCTCCGCGTCATGGCCTCGGGGTTCACCCACGTCGTGCCATGGGTCAGAATTGCCTTCCTTCTGAAGGCCGAATAATATTCCACCGTATGGATTTACCTCCATTGTTTGTCCATTCAGTCTGCTGATGGACGCTTGGGTGGCTTCCGTTGCCTGGCCGTTTGTGAATAATGCTCCTTGTGAACGCGGCCGTACGAGTATCTGTCCCAAGACCCTGCTTTCCATCCTTTGGGACATATCGCCAGGAGAGGAACTGATAGATAGTACGGTAATTCCGTGCTTAACTTCCTGAGGAACCGCCATACTGTTTCCAGCAGTGGCTATGCCATCTTGCTTCCCCACGACAGTGCGCAAGAAGGCCGTGTTTTCCGCATCCTCGCCGCCACGTGTTCTCTCTCCTTCTTGGTCGTAGCCACCCTAATGGCTGGGAGATGGTATCTGTGGGTCTCCTCGTGGTTTGGATTCGCAGGCCTCCAGTACTCGGCGATGTCGACTCTCTTTCCATGTTGCTTCTTGGCCATTTGTGTGTCTTTTTTGGAGGCATGTCTCTTCCGATCCCTTGTCCAGTTCTAGCAGCCGTGTCTTGTCACGTTGAGCTGTGGTCGTCCGCTGGGTGTTTCCCGGAATGGGGTTCCGGGTGCCTCCGCTCCTCTGTCAGCAGGTGGCCTTGTGAGTTGTCCTCCCGAAGAAGGAGGGGGGGGGCCCTGTGACAGGAGCTCCGCCCGCCTTCCGCCAGCCGCACCTTCGCTTTCTAGCGCGTTCTTTCAGAGTCCCCACCCTCTTGAGCCAGCGTTCTCGGCCCCTCCCTGCCCTGCCTCCTGTGGTACCCTGCCCCATCTCTTGGCTCCATTCTGTGTCTCCACCCTTCTCGCCCGCCTCCTCCTCCTGGCACACATGCCAGGCTGGCCTCCGTGCCTCCGCAGTGATCTTTCTCTCATACCCGGCACCTGGCTCTTCATCTGACGTGTAGAGTATGAGAGAGTCGTAATCGCAGAGACGTAGGAAAGTGGAGGGGGAGGACAGAGTCAGCGACCGCACGTGAAATCCTCGGAAAGAACGGATTCCTGAGTGCAAAGCAGAGAGGGAAGTGGCCAACCTCACCGAAGAAACCGGTAGGAAAGCAGAGAGAGGACGGCTTGCCTGAAGTCCTGACGGGCCCACTTTGCATCAGTGTCGGATGCGGCCAAACCGGCCCGAGACAGGCTTCCTGTGAATGTGCTTAGTCCTTTGCCGCATTGTCTCCACATAGGCAGTTTGCCATTGGCCGGTTACGTGGAGGGTGGGGTGTCACGGTGTCCTGTCCTCGCCCGGGAGGGCTGCAGCCCGCCGGCGGACCCCCGTGCTTGTGCTAGAAAGCAGTAGAAAGACTGCCTTTGTCATTTGTCCTCTCATTCCATGATGACTCAATTCCACCATGCCTGTCCCTGCACAGACAGAGGACATACATTTTTCTCCCCTTCTCTGCGGGTAGGTCTGTAAACTTGCTCTCAGACCTGCCTGGGGACGGAGGGGGAGAAGTGTTGGATCCCGGAGCGGGTAGCTCACCCTGAAGTTTATTTCATTTTCTGGTCCCAAGCACTGAGGCAAATTGAGGTCAGGGAGCCTCCGAGATAAAAGCAAGGCATCTCATTTGGGTCAATTTAAATGAGATGCTGTTTTTAGATTATACGTAACTAAAAAAAAAAAAAAAAAATGTATCTTACTTTGCTGTGTTTCTGTCCCTTCCGCAGGTCACCTCAAGTAATGTCGTCTTGAAGACAGGATTTGATTTTCTGGACAACTGGTAAAATGTATCAGACAACCAAATAATAATAATAAAACCAAGAACCCCTAAATGTTTTCCAAAGTGGTGTGGTGGAGGAGGATAAAAAAAAAAAGGGCAATATTTTCCTGGCTTCTGTACGCTTTTTTCTTAATCATTTGGAAACTGGTAAATATCGCCTTGTCCGGATTTCCAGATTTTTCTCTTTTTTGGTAAGGCCAGATACATATGCTATTTTCAGTGATTTGATAAACAGAAGTTTTACATTTGGAATTTTTAAACGACCGGTAAGGCATTGAGTAGGTCTCGTGAATAAAGCCTCTGTTCCCAATTCCACCCCATTTTCCCCCCCTCCCTGGAGAAAGAGTTTTCTCATCGTGTCCCCAAAACCATAAAAGCGATTTCCGTCGCTTTCTCCTTTAGCCTCTCCCCTTTTGAAATGAGCGGCGTGCGCTTTGCTAGGTGGCTGTCGGTGATGCCCTCGGCTGTGGCGGCCTCAGTGTGCCGGGCTGGCCGTGACCGCGGGAAGATTCCTCCCCACCCAGCATTCCCGGATGCCCAGGGCTCCCTGACGCCACGCCCCTTGCATCGTGTGCCACGCTCTACCCTCACGTCATTTCCAGGAACCCCACTGTTGGCACATAGCAGAGATGGTCTTCAAGCCGCCCTGATCCGTACTCGAGCTGTCCGTCGTCGTTTAAGAAGAGTCGCATGTTTAAAAGTTTTGTATTAACTTGTCATTATTTTGTATGTAGAGTTAGAGGTTGTGAGGCTCCATTTCTTCTTGGGCATGTACTGGTTTCTGTTTGGAGGTTCTTTGCTCCTCCTGTGGCCCCTGTGGGTGTTCCCGGGTCCGGGGCATCTGCAGGAATGAAGGGCAGGTGGCAGGTGTTGGAGGACAGAGCCCTTCTGATCGGTTGCAGTAGAACCTTCCAGCGGGAGGCTGGCAGGGGCGGTGGACGTCCTTCATCCCAAGGACTGCTTAGACTCTCCTGATGGATCTCTCTGCCATCCCTGACCACCAGCAGAAGGAGTCGTCTCTGCAGCGCCCCAGCAGCGCCCCCTGGAGACCCCTTGCGGTCCTATCCACGGTGTCTCTTGGAGCCAGACTGCTGCCCGCTGCCGTTCAGATGGAGGTGGCCCCCAGGCTGCCTGGGCAAGGTGGCCCATGCCCCAGGCGTGGTGGGTGGGGCAGGGCGAGGAGGAGAGTGGCCCTTACCCTGGGAAGCCTTCGCCCTGCCCGTTGGCCCCGAGCTGCGCCCCCTGCTGGACATGCCCGAGCGTGATCTACACGTTGCCTCTCACTGTGTTCTCCTCACCTGAAGCCTTAACCCCTGTGAGTCCTGCAAGTGAGCGCCCGGTTTCAGTACCAAGGTGTGTCTTTTTAAAAATGCGTTTCTGTCTCATACGACATCCTTAAGTGGTTTCCACAGCGTCCAGGGTAAAGCACGTGGCGCCTTATTTTCCCCAGGAAGATTCCTGCCAAAGCCGCGGCCTGGCCAACTTTTGGCTGGGTTTCTGCCAATCGCATTATGTCCCTGAACCTCATTTGGCCCCTTGGGGTTGTGGATGTGACCTTCCTACGTGGGTGACTGGCTGCATTATGGCAAATACAGATTTCTTCTTGTACCATTTGAGGATAGTTGAAACGTCCAAGGGGAAAAAAAGGCTCAGAACGTGGCGGGGACGGAAAAGGGAACTTAGAAATCCCAGCCGGGGTGCCAGCCCCTCGAGTCGGCCACTGAGCCTCAGAGCCGGGCTTCCCACCTGCCTCCACTTCCAGCCTGGAGGGCAGTGCACTGTTTTAGAGCCCGCGCTTGAAAACAGTGTTCCTTAAAAAAAAGAGAGAGAGAGAGAGAGATGTCCAGGTGTGAGTTTGTATTCATTGATGCTGATGTGGCCAGGGAGGAACTGCACCTGGGGACAGTTAGCCCACAGTGATGTGTCTGTTCTCTTGCGAGACAATTCTGAGGCCTTTCTGACTTTCTCCTAAAGCCTGGTTATTCCTTTCACGCCCCCCACCCCCGCCCCCCACCCCAGGGGGCTGCGGGGACGCAGGGGGTTGTTGAAAGCCTCTGCGTCACCCGGTGCCGCCCTGGGCCCGCTACCCCGAGTGTTCAGTTCTCTCTTACAACAGGGCGTAATGTTTCATGATGGGGCAGCCTCCTGAGATGAAATGTAAAGTCACAACTTAGGAAATCCTCAAGCTGTGTGGCTTTGCTCTGCTTCTGAGAAGGAGACGTGAAGGAGCCCGGAGGACACAGGCTGGTGAATCCGCATCCCGCCTGACCTGCGGGTCCTGGTCGTAAACCCCGGGCGGTCTGTGTAAAGATGGTCGGTAAGGAAAAATTCAGCTCTTAGGTTGGCCACATCCTCCCCACCCCCCTGTGTCGGGATGAAGTTCCTAGAACCAGACGTTTATACGTATTATTTTAAAAAGACACACTTTTCAACTGAAGCCTGTATTTGGTTTTGGGGTGTCCCCCGCTCCGCCTTCTGCGCACCTGGGATTTAGCTCAAGGATTTAGCGTCTTGCTTCGGGTGACTGTGTTTCATAAACTCTCCCCCAGGAAGTCAGAAACCAGTTTCCGCTCTTCCCCTTGGGGGGGAGGGGAGGGTCCCCACCCCGCTCTCTGGGTTTGGGGGTGCTGTCCACTTGGGGACAGCTGGGGTCTGTCGCCCAGCCCCCGCCGCGCGCCGGACCCCACGTGGATGTCAGAGCCCCCCTCCCTTTCTTCGCGCCTCCCTTTCTTTGATACACGTTTTCCAAAAAATGAAGAATTCTTACGACTTGTAACTTGGTTGTATTTTATATTAATAGCCTTTAATAAAGCCATTTAAAATATGTGAGGTGTGTCTGTTTGGGGCCTCTACTCGAGTCAGGAAGCCCCTCCGGATGACTGCTGTTGCGCACAGAGAAGAGAGGGTTGGTGCTAGTTAAGCAAGCGTGGGCTTCAAGAAGCCCACCGGGCACGGGCCTGACGTGCGCCCCCTGCAGGTTGGTGGGAGGCGGTGGCCGAGGTGCACAGGCCCGTAGCTGAAGGGTAGACCGGACCCCGGAGGGAGGGCTCCTGTGTAGCCCCCAGGTGACCAGGAAGCCAAGGCAGGGGTTCCCAGAGACGAGCTTATCGCATCCAATGACTGACTGAAGAGCAGATGGTATCTCCCAGAAAGCTTTTACCTTGAATCTGGTTGAAATGGATTTTCCTTGGAAAAAATAACAAGATTAAGCATGGCCGATGAATGCTATTGCATCCGTTAAAGTGCAGGTGGTAAGTTACCAACTACAGATGGAAGGGAATTAAAAAAAAATTTTTTTTTAATGTTTTTATTTATTTTTAAGGCAGAGAGAGACAGAGCATGAGCGGGGATGGGGCAGAGACAGAGGGAGACCCAGAATCCGAAGCAGGCTCCAGGCTCCGAGCCATCAGCCCAGAGCCCAGCACGGGGCTCGAACCCACGAACCGTGAGATCGTGATCCGAGCCGAAGTCGGATGCTCAACCGCCTGCGCCCCCCAGGTGCCCCGGAAGGGAATTTTTAGGTGTCCGTTTTCCAGATCAAAAAAACTTTTAAAACTAATACCTCTCAGGAAAATGGTGATCCGGGCCGACAGACTTCTGCCTTACGATCCTGCACCGTGGGGCCTTGCTGCCTCGGGGGCCCAAGATTCCAGCAAGTGACTGTGCTTGCTGACTTGCTGGCTGTGGTGAAGGTTCTGAGACCCGCAAGCATTTGGATTGTCGTGTGGACGCATTGCGAGAGGAGGCAGAATAACTCCTGGGCTCGTAGGTTTGACAGCTTAACGATAGTTCAGTATGTGATGCTGATATCCCTGCATTACATGCACGTATGTGTAAAGTTTCTCTGCCGGAAGGAGCCATCAACGTAGAGGCAGAATATACCTGGATGCATTGTGGAGGCAGGAGGAAGATGTTGAGCCTGGGGGGACAAGGATACCCTCTGTCGGGGTGGGGGCATTCACGGTGCTTTTCCAGCATTTTCTCCGGTCTGAGCCTGTGCTCATATGCAATTTCCTGATGAACTTATCAGCCTTGCAGGTGCCTCGATACCAAAGAGGGAAACACCTTGGGGGGTGTTTCCTCAGTGATTCTGAATCCAAAGTCAGGCAGTGAACGAGTGAGCAGCCCTGGATAGAAAATCAACTTCTGCGCCTAGAGTGGCAATACCAACTAGAAACTTAAGTAGAAACGTACCAACTCCTGATGGCCGTCAAACACATAAAGTATCCAGGAATCAACTTCAACAGGTATACAAAAACTTCTTTCGAACGGTGAAAAGGAGACAGAAGACGTAGAAAAAAGATCTGAACGATCCCGGGTGGGCTAATGTAGTGATATCAAAACGTTCATTCCCTCCAAATCATTTTTTTTTTTAATTTTTTTTTTCAACGTTTATTTATTTTTGGGACAGAGAGAGACAGAGCATGAACGGGGGAGGGGCAGAGAGAGAGGGAGACACAGAATCGGAAACAGGCTCCAGGCTCTGAGCCATCAGCCCAGAGCCCGACGCGGGGCTCAAACCCACGGACCGCGAGATCGTGACCTGGCTGAAGTCGGACGCTTAACCAACTGCGCCACCCAGGCGCCCCCCCCTCCAAATCATTTTGTAAGAGTTAGCACAATGTGAACCAAAATCATGGTTGGATATTTTGAGGAATTTGACAAATTGGCACAAAGTCGTGGATGGAGAAATGATAGCTATGCTGAGGTATAAGAGGGGGGGACTTGCTGTGTCACTTAGGAACACGTTAGAAGGCCATCGAAATGTTGTTTGTGGGTATTGGTTTGAGGATAGGTGATCAGATCAGTGAAATAGGGTAGGGAGCTCGGGACAAAGTCGTGTGTATATGAGACCTCCATTGAGGGTCAAAGTGGCACCACAGACTGGCAGGAGGGGGGCTCACGCCAGGGACAGATGTGAACACAGTTTCTTACCCAACGCTGTGTGGAAGATGGGCTCCTACGTCGGATTCTGCGTCTCCGTCTCTCTCTCTCTCTCTGCCCCTCCCCTGCTTGTGCTCTCTTTCTCTCAAAAAGAAAGAAATATTGGGGCGCCTCGGTGGCTCAGTCGGTTGAGTGTCCGACTTCAGCTCGGGTCACGATCTCACGGTCCGTGAGTTCGAGCCCCGCGTTGGGCTCTGTGCTGACAGCTCGGAGCCTGGAACCTGCTTCGGATACTGTGTCTCCCTCTCTCCCTCCCCCTCCCCTGCTCATGTTCTGTGTCTCTCTAAAAAATAAATAAACATTAAAAAAAAAAACCCTTTAAAATAAATAAACATTAAGAAAAAATTAAAAAGAAGAAGAAGAAGAAGAAGATGGTCTCCATTTGGATTCAAGACCAAAGGATAAAAGATAAAGGGGTAAGGCTAAGAGAGGGAAGAAGTGCCTTGTGACCCAGAGCAAGGAAGACTTTTTTTTTTCAATGTTTTTATTTATTTTTGAGACAGAGAGCATGAGCAGGGGAGGGGCAGAGAGAGAGGGAGACACAGAATCCAAAGCCGGCTCCAGGCTCCGAGCTGTCAGCACAGAGCCCGACGCGGGGCTCGAACTCACGGACCGTGAGATCGTGACCCGAGCTGAAGTCGGACACTCAACCGACTGAGCCACCCAGGCACCCCAGGGAAGACTTGTTGCATGAAAGTTTAAAAGTACTAACCGTAAAGCAACGTATTGAGGAAACTCCTACCTGAAAACGTAGGA